GGTGTGACAGCAACCTAATATAACACCACATTGTTAGCTTTGCATACAGTTAGCCAATGCTACAGTAAGCTAACATTGCACAACATAATTAGCTTCACCTAAAGTCAGCTAGCTAGGCTTTTAGACAGATAGTATTGCTTTTTTACCGCTGGTTAGCTATTATGTTACTATATTAGATGAGGATGTACATAATTTATCAGGAATATAATATTATTAGTGTAACATACAGTCAACTAGTTAGCTAGTGCTATAGTAAGCTTATCTTACAACATTATTAGCTCAACATATAATTAGCTAGTTAGCCTTTTAGACATGTATTATATTGGTTATCTGGTTAGCTTTTATGTTAGCTCTTATAGCGATTGATGAACACCGGGGGCTTCTTACTCCATGTCAAGAGAAAGAAAGGTTTGTATGTGTATATTCTTATTAATAACCACAGATGCCTATTTCGCACTGTCAGAATATGACATCGTCTTACCTCATATGCACTTCTTCACCAGTAAGGTGATTTCATTACTATTTAATCATCATTAAGGCCACTATCATCCAAGACGTGAGGTGAAAACTGACTATCTAACCATCAGGAAGGGAGATGTGGTGGAGGGGGGAGCCCTGCGACTATCCAAACATTAGCACAAGCAGCTCATTCAACCAGCTCTGTGGACGCACCTGGCTGATGCTACCTGTGCTGCTCTTGTGTCCATCCTGGGAACACTGCAGATGTTTGATGCTGACGTGAACACGAGCTGGATGAGTCAAACTTGCGTCAGACTTCGTCGTGACTTTACCATAGTAAGTGGCCGTCCTATGGGGGGGCTGATTTATCCCACAACAGAGCCACAACCACGTGGAAACCGGAGGTGCGATCGGGTGTTTTTTGGAGGGGAGGCTGAGCCGCACAAACATCGTGAAAGCGCCGAAGTGAGACAAACGATCGCTATAAATCAGCACCTGCACAACTTAACGTGATTGTAGCGGCTAAACTTGTGGCAGGCGTGGAGCTCCTGCGTCAGACTTTACGCACTATGCGCCCTGGAAGCTCCGTGATTTCGCATCTCTTTGCGCGCAGAGATGTTGCAAACGGAGACAGTGCCTGAATGAAGACGGCGTTTACTCACGTTGGATTAATACTGTCACAGTGTTAAAACCCGCTCCGCAACCTGCACAAGGTAAGATTCACCTGATTGTACCCGTTTCTCCCTGCGATCAGTTTAGATTTCTGATATTTCTCTGATATGACTTAACAGTTTCGTGCTGTCGTGAAGCGGTTGCATAATTTTTAAAAAGAAAAACACCTGAAATGGGTTGATAGATCACCTGACAAACGATTATTTCGCCGCAACATTGACGGGGAGCGTCGCTCATTAATCCTCCGACGCGCCATGTGTGTCCAAAATATGGCTCAATTTAGAGCAGATTCTGCGAAACGGCGGATCTATTACAATCGTGCTGGGGCTCTTTGCGGCTCCGTGTTGCTATTATTAGGTGAATGGTTTGACCTTGACAAGGCATCGGAGGTTATATACGCGGAGAGAGTTCAAGCATATGGGCCTGTCGTGTCTGAAAGATGCCTGAACGCGTCCGAGCAGGTGCTGCTCTGCTCCTGTCACAACCAATTTGCTGCTCAAGATCAATTAAAATCAAAGTATTTCGTCGCTTCTGTGTGGCAGCTGACCAGATTTTTTATTTATTTATTTTACAATGGCACCATTTTCTACCCAGGAAATCTAAAATGTACAGATGAGATAGTCTGTGATGGCTGCCTGATTGACAGTGCAATAGATCCCACAACAGACCGTCACCTCCAGCTTTTCCTCCCTCCTCCTCCTCCTCCAGCTCTGTCACAGCAGCTCCCTGTTATTTGCAGCCGTCCTTCAGGGGCTCTATCATGTCTGTCCATTTGAGATGCTCAGAGGAGAGATGGGCGACCACCGATGCCGCAGGGACTGGATTTCAAGAGGGGTTTTTTTTTGCAGGAAGAGCCATTGCTTAGCAACCGCTAGATAAAAGTGGAGTGCATCTATGCAGGGAACCTGTGCTGTTACATCATCAATACTAAACTGTTGGTGGAGAGTTTCAGGAAGATGAGGCAGGATCAGGGAGGCTGCTGTGCACACCCCACCCCACCCCACACAGTAGCCACACCGGTCCATTCCCACCCCTCTCATTTCTACATGCTTCACCTTCTGCATCTTGTTTTCCTCTGCATGCATGCTCCGGTTCCTCCACAATTTCATGCATCCTACTCCCTTCTGCATCCTGCCACGAAAACATTTAATTTCACTATGATTCCCTCACATGATGACTGAATACTGAGTCAGAATCTGTGGCACTTGTCTTGCGCTGCATGTGAAGTCCTGCTGTCCCTGTAATGTGCCATCTGTGCCAGCACATACTGTGAACTCTGAAAGTTGCCAACGTGCTGCTACGGCAACATCGAAAACTTTCACTTGCACACGATTAAATGAGCCGGAGCCAGAGTCCGATCTGCCATTTTTTGTTGATGCAGGTCACCATCATCATCACTCATAAGTAGCAACTGGGTCAGTTTGCTCCTAACTATACCAATGTCTCCGTTCAGTTTTGGAAAAGTAGGGCAAAAACATCAGGTCTGTCAGAGCTTCACTCTCCACTTTTAAATCCCTCAAACTGCAGTTTAGCTTTTTTTAAAAAATCACTTGTTTGCAAACAAGCCCATCGTAGCTTCACACCTCATTCAGAGTGTGTTCGGTGATGACTCAGTATTGTGCAGTTGGAGTCTGCCGTGAGAAAGGTCACTGCTGTTCTGGGATCTGTGTCCATGCCTCTGAGCTGCTGCTGCGTGTCGTGACTGCAGGACTGTTGAGGAATTTGATGTGCGTGCTACTGATTCGGCCTCTGGATGGGCTTTAGAGTTTAGCTGGCTGGCAACTGTTCTTAAGAAGTCACTCCGAATACAAGCCTGGCTCTGATTCCAGCCGCTGCATCTGTTTTCAGATTAGAGGCCTTGTCTCCAGATCAAACACCTCCGGGGCTTCCACTGAGCTGCCGGAGTGAAAAGTCAAAAATTTCACCCGTCCCACACAGCTAGACGAGAGTCGGGCTTCTAAGTCTGCTTTTAGTCTGTTTCTACTCCTGTAGCGGCTCGCTTGGCATTTAACCGAGGCTGTCTGCATCATTCCTTGTTCAGCTGACCTTTAGGTAATTAGTTCATGTACAGCAAATGCTAACTTTCTCTCAGAGTTTTCATATCATTTTCAAGCACCAGTATGTGAGGATCATACATCTTGTCAGTTTGAATTTTCATGCTTGCAGCTACAAATTAAAATGTTCCTTTTAAAGAGCTACATCTGCAGTGTTTACTGGGTTTCCCACTGCGTTCTATTGCAGAGGCGGACCACTGAAACAAACACCACCTCTGCTAAAATCATAAAAGAGCAGCGATGCTATTTTGCCTAAATTTAAAGGCAAACAACGGCCGTTTTACTCACCAGTGTTTACATGTCTTGGAAAGTACAATTGCATGTGCAGAAAAAGTTTTGTGAAACATTTTGTTGATTCTGTGCAAAACCTGACTATTGATGGTTTCTGGTTTTCTCAAGTGGTGTCGCACACAAAAGCTCTTGCATCATCTCTACGGGAGATTTTAACCACTGTGATTGATTTCCTGAGTCTCTGACCAGACTGTCAGCGGTTGACTTGCATTGTGGTTCATGCAGGAGCCAGGCAAAGAAGAAAAGACAAAAAGAAAAAAAAAATCTCTGCTTGTACTGCAAGAATTGTATTGTTTTGTTTTAAGCTGTCCATTGCAAGTCTGACAGTGTTTCATCAGAAAAATGCAGCGCTAAATCGCTTGAGGACTTGTTTATTCATTTAATAACTGTAAAATCCTAATTTATGCAGGAGAATCAGACCTTCTGGATACACCAGCTCTTATCCTGCATTGTGATCTGCACCAGTTCCCCCTCGAGGGAGGCATAACACACAGGATTGTGTAGTTATTAGTGGATTTCTGGCCTCTGAAAAGTTAACACATACCAGGAAACCAGGCAGGTTTTCTCTTTTGGGGAAAAAAAAACAGTTAATTCAGGAGTACGGCAGCATTGAGCTCCTTCATCAAAGCAGGAAAAAATGTTAAAACAACTTGTGGACAAGATGTTGAAGCCGATGTGTGCGTGATAAGAAAAAAAGACACTAATAACTGATGAAATCTGTGCTCGGAGGCTTCAGTTTTACTGCACTGTGCTCTCCAGAGACCAGTAGTCACACAGGCAGGCTGCTGTTCATGCTATTCACATGACTTAACTTTAGGATAATGGGCTCTGCTGTGAAATGGATTGTAATTCAATGTGTGTATCTCATTCACTGTAATGAAGTGGATTACTCAAATACCTTTTGGCTCTAAAGTGCTGCTGTTTTTCCTACTTTGGGTTCTAGTTAATTAGCTGAAGCAAAATGGTCAAAGTCACTTTCCACAAGTCTGGTTCCTGGCAGTTTCCCTGTGATGCTATAAAGGCCTGCAGTTGATGAATGATTTCTTTTAGATTAATTGATGAATTTAAAATAAAAGGGAAATAGATTCGATTTAATTCCCTAGAAGACTGAGAAGTCCAACAATGGAGCAGCTGCAACCAGAGAGTTGTTGGCATTTTGAGTAGATCATCATGATGATCAAAAAAGATAGAATCCTTTTAATTCTTTAAGACTTTTAAAACCATTTTTGGATCATAGTCATCGGTCTGCTTGAAAATTCTGTCATTTAGTGTGAAGTTTCCAATTTCGTTAGCTTCCTAAAATAGAGATTACCACATTTTTACAATGGAAAGCAATTACAGAAAAAAAAGGATTTTTGAAGTGTTTTTCCTGATCAACTACAGGTTCTGTTTCTTTCTCTTCACAGATTTAAGAAAAGCACAAACTTCCTTCCCTGGCACCTTCAAGGTTTTCTCTTTCCAATCAGGCTCTCCTCTCCGTGCTTCGACCCTCTTCTCCTCTGAGGGAGCTCCTGTCTCGCCGCCATGCCAAAGAACACCAAGGTGACCCAGCGGGAGCACAGCAATGAGCCGGTCACCGAGTCGGTGGCTGACCTGCTGTCTCTGGAGCACCCCATGGACTATAAGAGCAGCCAGATGAGTATGGGTCTGAGTCCAGGATCCACTGCTCCTGGGAGGGCCCTGCTGCCTTCCCCTGACCCAGACGCTGAGGACGGCCGGCCAGCGTGGAACAACAAGCTGGAGTACATCCTGGCCCAGGTGGGCTTCTCTGTCGGTCTTGGAAATGTCTGGAGGTTTCCTTACCTGTGCCAGAAAAACGGTGGAGGTAGGTGGAATTTGGCTGACTTTAGCAGTTCAGTGTGTTCTTGGGTGAGAAAAAGCTGAAAGTCTTGCGTAGACCAGTGTGTAAAGTGTGGTAACACTTCCTGGATTCGGATGTCAGCTCCTAATTGGGCCTCCCATCGAGAGCGTGTCCAGGGTGCTGAGTAATGTTCACATTGAGAAATGCTGTTCTGAGTCAAGGCTGTTAATGGGATTATTTTTTTTAAAAGCTGTTCTGTAAAATGCTCCTCATGATCGGCCAGATGACAGTGGTTAGCTTAATGACATTTAGTACTTTTGGTTTGATCCTTTTGTTTGAACATGGGGTTTGTTTGCTACCCCACAGTCTAGTCCAGGATACCGTGTGCATCTGGCAACTATTTGTTCACATGTGATTTGAGTGGAAATGTTCACAATTGGTGATTAGTGTGTAGTTCTGGAAACCAGTTCACCAGTTTGTACAAGGGACTTTGAGATTGGGTCAGAATTCACAGACAGTTGTTCAGTATTTTAGCAACGTAGATTGCAAGGTGGTGTCAGAGTAGTGGCAGCAGCATGAGAACACAGAACACCCATCAGCCACAACACTATAACTACCTGCCACATACTGTACAAGTCCACCTGTCCTGTGTAAAAGTCAAAGTATCATCCAAATGAATTCAAGAACCTAAAGTCCTTGCAGAATGTTGAATTGTAATGAGGTGATCAAGGTTGTTCATGTTGCCTGTAAGTGGTTTTAATGTTGTGGCTCTTCAGTGTTTATCTTAATCTAGTGTAGATAGAATGGTGGGTTACATTGTGCAGGGAGTTTTCTGTTTGGTTGTTTTGGGACAGTGAGATGAGCTGCTTTTTGGTGCGATAATCCAGTTTGAATCTTTTGTTTTTAAGCTTTTCTTTTGAGCAGTTTAAATTTCAAGATGTTCGGCTCCAGTTTTGTAGGATAATCTGCTGTTTCACTAAGTATTTATGATGCTAGAACATCAGCACTGCACACATTTTGTCATTATGAAGTTTAGAACAAATTCTACATTAAACAGTAAGATTTGCAGGTCATCAATAGCTGCTTGTAATGAGGAGATAACCTGGTTTTTGGTCAGCCTGTGAATACACAAGAAAGTGTCATCTGCGTAAAATATGACATTTCAGGGCTGAACTGGGAAGTAAACATTATTTATGTGCAGAGTAAATATCAGTGGACTTTGAATTGGATTTGAACGCAAGATTTTTAGCTTTCAGACAGATATGATCTGAGCCAGCGCAACACAATGTGGCTTTTCATCAAGTGATCCACAGCAGCATTTGCAGCAGCAATTTGTGCAATGAGCAGATCTACAGTCTGACTGCTGCGGCTGAAGGACGATGCTATCCTCCAGGAAGCCATGCAGTTGTGGGCTGACTTTTGATTCGAGGGTTTGGGACAGACAAGACAGCCTGAATGTAGGTCGATAGTTGTTACGGTCACTCGTGTCATATCTGATAAAATCAGTAAGTACAACTTAAGACGGTGTTTTTTGTCTCGGCACCAACCAGGCTGCTCTTCGCAAGTCAGAGGGGCAGTAATGTCAACGTTTTTTAGATTTGGACAACTGGTGCTGTCAGCAGCTGCAAGACAAGGTCATTTCTGTTCACAAAGATGCACAAGAGGCCTGATATGATGCTGGGAGATCCTCCAGTTGAACATTTATTTGCTTTTCCTGCAGATCCCCTAGTCTTATCTTCATGGTATTATGATTTCCTGGTATTGTGATGAGATGAGAGGGCAGTGGCGATGACTAGGACGGAGCAAGAGGAAGAGTAAATACTGATTACAGACATTACAGACAGACTGTGTTGGTACCTTGTGTGGGTGGTGTGTTTAAAGAGGGTATTTGAAATGCGTGATAGCGAAGCTGAATATGTATGTATTCACACACTTTAATCAGAGTGTGAGAATATAAGTGTGCGCAGTAATGAGTGTTCATAAACTGCTGAATCTTGGCTCAGTGGGAGCTGCTGCATTGTCTTGTCTGGGCTTGTCCAAGAGATATGGACAAACTGTCCCTGTGCAGTGTTTCTAGTGAAGGTAATGCTTATTTTATACTGTTTCGATATAAAGATAAATGCCAGGGCTACATAGCTCACCAACAACATTATTCTGTCTTACAAATAACTAATTAACACAGTTAATTTCTATGATCGTGATTGTGTCTACTTTGAAACCTGTGTGTCCAGAAAAGCAAATTAGCCAGTCGTCAAAATTATGAAGCAACCATGACTAGAACAGCTTGTAGCTTTATTTATCTTTACGAAACTACCGATCAATTTACTCTAAGCACATTGCTGGACCAAACAAATAGCATACAGATGAACTACTCATTATTACAAACCAAAAGATTATCTTCCTCAGAGAAAGTAAGTGACCAGCAGCATTTATTGCTTTGCATTGAACAAATGCAACACAACAGAAAGAAAATAATGAGTACATAAATGAGTTGTTGCATATTAACAAAGAAGCACGTTCTAGTAGATATTAAGTATGCTGTAAAACATGTTTTGAGAACTGTGTTTAACTGCAATTTTTTGAACTGTTGTTTGATATTTTAGAGGTTTTCCCTGTTTCATGAAATTATAAATAATAACTAGCAAAATCACAGAAACTGTAAATAACATTCACATCAAAAATCTGTAATTTTATAAATAATAATTCCTTCTTCTACAGTGTTTGACTGTATTTTTTTATTATTATTTTTCACTGTATTTAAATTTTAACAAAACAACATTATTTTACAGATGTTTGGTGTTATTTTATTTTTTTAAAAAGTATATTAAGGATTAGAAAATGGTAAGTCATTCTGTCATTTTACAGATCTTCCCCTGTATTGTTAAATGACAGATAAACCTCCATCACAAGATAATAATCATAAGATAACAAAAAAGAACCGTAATAATTTACATGTTGACTGTAATAACAAAACAGGCCAACACTGTACCAAATGTCCACATCAAAAAATTGTATTTTCTTAAATAGTAATTCCTCCTTTTACAATGTATGACCATAAAGTTACTTTGAATCTGCTAAAAATATCCCTATTTTACAGGTATTTGACAGATTTATCTTTCAGTTTTATTTCAACAGTTTTTGAACTTGACAGTGTCCCACTGTGTTTTAAAATATGTTATTCTGGTGCCCTTGCTGCCAGATTTTCTTTTTTCTTGACGTTTGTTTTTTTTTTTAAACCAGGTTTTTATTTCTTTTTTCTTTTTCTTTTTTTCAAGTTAAATTGTAGTTTGACAAACATGGCAAAATTGTTGTGTTGTCTTCAATATTTTTCTAAACTGAATATTACCAAACTGTTTCTCTCGTAATCAATATCAGAAAAATTTAAAATATAATAATGCTCGTCACACTGATGTTCTGTCAGATAGAACGTACACAATCCTAATACACATTATCTTTCCTCAAACTGGTAAATTCAGACTGCCACACACATTTTCTCCCTTTTCAAAGGGTCTTAATTAAGCCATAGTTACTATTCTGTCAATTGCCTCTTGTCAACTCTAAGGATCCACGTCCTTACATGTGAAGTTTCCTCAGTTTTAATGTATTTTGTTTTTTATATAGAGAAAAAAATTAATCATGAATATAATAAGGATTATTTCTCCTCTTGTTATTCACAAATTGAACTACAAGGTGATCTGTCCAGGTGTAGTTCATGTATGTATTCTCCACTAGTTTGACTGAAGAAAAACAATAAGAGAAGCAGCTACCTGGACAGTTTCTCTCCTGACTCACACATTGTGCTTGTCTCTGTTCGGTGTCTCTGCTGCTCAAAATAGACATCAAAAATCAGTGAAAATAGACCTGAAAACAACTACGGCTGCCTCTGACGGTCCAGATGTAACGTAACACTGTGTTCCTCTTTGTTTCCTTTGTCTGCTCCTGCCTCTAATAGCCACTCACGATGTTATCACAATTTTTGATCGAGTCAAACGTCAGAGTCATTTGGGTTTTTTTTGTCTGGAAAACAGGCTGCAATTTCTGGCTTTTCTGACGCGTCCTCTCTGGCTTTGGATGCTTTTGTCACCATGGAGCCCCTTCGTTTCTTGACGTAAGCAGGACTGGACGTGACTTGTTGCCTGTTAGCGCCTGCTGCTCTGCTCCCCCTGTCCCTTCTGTGAAAAGATAGAGGGGAATATGTGACAAAATGATGAATGGAAGTCAAAAAAAAAAAAAGCATGGAGAACAGGTCAAAAGAAAGCGTGAGAGGGGAAAAAAGAGAGCGAGGGAGTGGAAACAGTGAAATCAAAGCGGTAGAAGATAAAGAGAATAGATTCCAAAAATAGAACCTCAGTGTGCTGCTTTACAATGAGCTGTTGTCCTTCACCACACGAAGATTTCAAACCCAGAGCAAACAAATCGTTCAAATACAAGTAGAATCTGCTTTAATTCTTCTCCCAACTGCCCTTTCTCCATCTCAGGTGCGTACCTGGTGCCCTACTTCATCCTCCTCCTCCTCATCGGCATCCCCCTGTTCTTCCTGGAGCTGGCGGTGGGTCAGAGGATCAGGCGTGGCAGCATCGGGGTGTGGAACTACGTTTACCCTCAGCTGGGAGGCATCGGGGTCTCCAGCCTCATGGTGAGTGTCTCGCATCATTAACATAATCTTCATCCCACTTTACAATATTACATAATTATATGAGGCTACATGCTGTCACTTTTGTTTTATTGAATAACTGTCGCTGTTTGTCTACAGCCACGTTGGTGGATCTGTAAGGAGTAATGCGTAACATATTTTAACTGTTACATAATTTACTGTGTTGGTGTATTCTGTTCACTTGCAAATTAACACAAAATACAACAGAGGATGATGGAAATGTTAGTTTCTGAGATATTTGGTCTGAAACCACACTAAGGAGAAACTGAAAGCACAAGTTCATCTTCTGGTGACCAATTATACAGTAATCTATCTAATAATTGTTAAAACATTTCAAATAAAACTACAAATGGTCTTTTGATTGTGGCAGTAAAAGAAAAATAAGAGTAGTTGTTATGATACATTGTGCAGAAATAATGAATGACTGTATGATATTTCATGGTAGTTATTGGTAATTTAGTTTATAGTGGTTTCAGTTTCAGTGTGTGGTGGACCCACAGACATTATAATCAATTATCAAACTCTCAAACCTCTGTAGGATTAAAAAAGTAGCTCCAAAATAGTTTTCTTTACATTCTCAAAGTCATCTGCAATTCTTGATAGTTTTGAGACAATGCAATCTGATTATGATTCGTCTTTGAGTTTTTATCTTTTATTTATTTATTTATTTTTACCATGAAATCTTTCCATTTTAATTAACATGGATTAAGATTGTTTTGGGGAAAAAAAACACACCGTCATCTCTCACTACCTACCTTGATTTATTTAGGATCTACTAACATTTTGATGTCTTATTATTAGTGGAAAAACCTGTGACATATTTTTTCTACCTCACAGTAAATCATCAGGATTGTAAAACAATAAGTTACAGAAGATGCACTTTAACCAAAGGCTCCATTTATGGGTTCACAAACTGCCGGCACATGTTGTCTTTTAACTGGTTTATCACTGCTCCATAAATAATTTATAAGTTTCCAATTAATAAAGGCAGGGGTAGCAGTTTATTACACTGCATAGAGTGTTGTAGGACTGCATTTATTTTGGATCGTGATGATAGCAGCCTTTGAATGTGTGTTTGGCACCGTTTTATAGGACTGTTGTTGTCACATTTCACTCACAATAAATTCTCAGTTCAGAGTTAAACATGTGAGGTTCAAAGAAAACCAGCGTTCTGTATAATTCACTCTGCTGGACTCCCTCTGCCTGCTCACATTACTCCCTGCTGTTGCTTTAAAGCCAGCGACATACAAAGACCAGCGCTGATCACTGTCGTAATCTGTCCCCATCATCAGCAGGAGTACTGACCCATCTTGTCCCCATCCCATCAGCATCACCAGCTTAAAACAGTCAGTCAGCAGCTGAGTCTGTCACTCAGTGATCCACTGCATCTGCCTTTCTGTTTTGTCAGTCATCGCCACAGTGATTTCATCAATCTAGTGCAAAAGAGGGGATGGAGAGGCCGGGCCTGGGGCAGTGAGGCGTGTGGCAGCTCGGATATGGCAGAGGTGGATTCAGCAGCTATAAATACTCCTCATAGAGGACCCCAGCCTTGGCTGCTGAGAGCAAACAGCTCAATAATTCATATGTACTCGACTTAAGCTGTGTGCTCAGTGTCTGCGACGTGACTCAAGAATATGCGTTCAGCTCAACACATTGCATGCTGTTTGTCCCCAGTGCTGTTTGTTTATTTGCATGATTGTCTTTCAGCAGTGGTGAGTCTTGCTGTTCTCTCTCGTTTCTCTTCAGGTTTGCGGTTTCGTGGGGCTCTATTATAACGTGATTATCGGCTGGAGCATCTTCTATTTCTTCCAGTCCTTTCAGTATCCGCTGCCTTGGGCTGAGTGCCCCATCCAGAGAAATGGAACCCAAGCCAGTGAGTCCACAACACAATGTACTGAACAACAGCACAGGGTATAACAGAGCAAAAAAACAAGTATCCATACGATGTTGTTTATTTAGTATAAGGCCTTCGACATCATGTGGAGAAAAATGAATACTGCAAATTCCTGCACCACAGCTCCATATTCAGCAAAGGCTCTCAGCAGATGCAGACATAAAGGCATTACGCAGGGCGATGCTTAAAGCTGCAGAACGCGTCTTTGCATTGAAGCCTCACAGATTCTCTGCAGTCCAGCAGCAGCGTCTCTGCAGGCATGTAACAGAGGGGCGTTTGTGCTGCCTCTATGGCTGAGAGCTGCCCTGCATCTCATGCTACGAGGCAGCTCTGTTGGCGAGGGCTGTCAGATGGTTTGACCTGGCCGACAGCGTCAGTACCTCGATCAGCTGGCAGCTGGTAGCCTGTGGTGGAGACACAAGCAGGTTCTGGCAGAGAAAAGGGCATCAACTTTCATTAGTGTGAGAGGGCAGGATGTTGACTCTGGTCATGATTATACATTCAGTGGAGATGCTGCAGAGCCTCCAATAGGATTTAGCTGAGCTCTCTGCAGAGGTGGAGAGTGCAGTAACTAAGTGCTTTTACTCCAGTACTCTGCTCATGCATGATTATGAAACATGTACTGTCTATTTAATGACTGCAACTAATGATTACTTTCATAATCGATTCATCTGCTGATTATTTTCTAAATTAATCATTCTGTCTAAAAAGTTTCAGAAAATCATGAAGCACATTTCTGAGAAGCAACATTTTTGCAATTATCAAACAGTAATGTCAGTTGACTAATTATTTATATGACATTACAGTCATGTGGCATGTGCCTTAACCATTAGGCTACCAGACTTCCTGATTAACATGTCCTTTTTGTCAATTAGTGATACTAAAGAGTGGGAAAATGTTTTCCCATGACGTGAGAAAATGTAAACTCTTCTCAAATACAAATAAACTAATTAGAAGTGTTTTAAAGAAATAAGTGTCAGTACATGGACATATGATTGCAGGCCATTTTAGTTAATATTTCTTACTGCAGTTTGCAAAACCAGCAATATCTGACTCTGAAATGTGTACCGTTTCTGCATTGTATGATTAAAACATGAGGCATTGGTATAATGTCAGAGTGTACATAGTTTAATGTTTTCCTTATTGACTGAGAACAACATTAAAACACTGTTTATATATGAATGCATTAGCAGTAACATTATAATTGGTAATAATGCATCACTGGATATTTGCAACTGCATTTATCTGACAGAAAGAAGTCAAGAAACATAAGTTTCCTGTAATGCAAGTAAATTAAACATCCATATATGTTGTATTTGTGCAGACTCCGCTGTCAAAACACTGTTCGTGCCTTTTCCTTCACTTTCTCCCTTGTTGTTGCAGTTGTGGAGCCAGAGTGTGAGAAGAGCTCAGCGACCACCTACTTCTGGTACCGGCAGACTCTGAACATCACCAGCAGCATCGACGACACTGGCGGTCTGAACTGGAAGATGACTCTGTCCCTGCTGGTGGCTTGGATCATGGTCTGCCTGGCAGTCATCAAGGGCATCCAGTCCTCTGGGAAGGTACGAGGCAGCCAATGATCGAGTTTAACAGTCTGCATTTAATCCCACACAATACAGAGTCAGTATGAAGGCAAGAAATCATCTTAGCAAAATGAAATTAAATGTCAGTTTTTAATCAACCATTCATCCTTATCAGTGGGTGTTTTATTCACTTTGCTTTCCAGACAAAGGTAAGATGCTAAGCCTCTCGTTGCCTCTTGCCTATTTTTGAATCTCATCTATATTATGGAAGAGAGAGTCATGCAACATTAATAAGCTTAAACTGAACCAAGTATAAACTGGTTCAGGATGCAGATGGAAAATTCTCAGTTTGGCAACAACTGTAACAACATCCTGTCATCTCGATCCAGAGAGTGACTCATGTACCACAGCCTACAGTCTCAATAGGAAAACACACAACAGAGCTGATCGCCAAGGCCTGACACAGTTTTTTAAACACTAACCTTAGCAATCCAATTGTCACAGTCAGTGCTGCAACGATTCCCTGAATGCTGTAGGAGGGATTTTTTTGACTTCAAGGACTCCACATTTGGTAGGATTTCACAAATTCGGTGCCAAGCAAACACAAAGCAGTTTTGGGACTGATTCTTCGCGTGTGTGTGTATTTGTAAGTGTGTTTTGTTGCACTTCTTCCTGCATGTGTGAGGTCTTGGAAAAGCGTGTCCATGGCAACACTGTCTCTCTCCCATAGGTGATGTACTTCAGCTCTCTATTCCCGTATGTGGTGCTTTTCTGCTTCCTGGTACGAGGCTTGATGATGAAGGGGGCGGTGGACGGCATCGCTCACATGTTCACCCCAAAGGTGAGCGAAAATCGTGGTGATTTTCTTCCAATCAAATAAAGTGATGGAAGGAGAAAGTGTAGAACAGATTGCATCTTCTGCCTCGGTGGGATTGGGAGACATTATCAAAGTAAAAATAGTAGTTTGCTGCAGTTGTATAAAATATGATTGCAGTGGGCTGCAGGGAACGTCTTCAAATCACTCCCATCACAGTGCTCCTGACACTGTAAGTGACACTTTATCTTTGCAGGCTGTTTATCCATGAGTTGGTGATGATTTCAGCTCCACTCATAGCAAAAATGTCATTAATATCCACATTGTGTTATGAGCTAAGTTGATGTCTCCCTCTAGTGGTGAATGTGTGTGATCACAACAGCCTGACTGATTATTGAGGAAAAAAATTCCAATTATTTTCCCTGCATGATCATGCAAATTTGCAAAATTTTGTTGCTGTGTTACTACTGCCATTAAATATCAGAGGAGGGTAGTAAATTACAAGTTGTGTGGATTTAGTGCATTTTGTCTAAAATTACATGTTGGCCTCAGGTCGTGTGAAAGCTGAGGTTTCATCTCACGGCAGATGACGTTGCAACAACAGCAAATGTGTGACTTTCGCTGTTACTGATGAATTATTTCAATTAAAAGATGCCTTATTTCAGAGATAAAAACACATCAGATAAACTGTCTGTAGACGTTTTTAAGTTCTCTCTTACTTAAATGGGTTTGTTATTACAAACCTATGTAGCATGGCCAGCTAAGGTTTGCTTTTTTTTATTTCTTAAAAACTCCCCAAACACCTTATTTGCTGATTAACAAAAAAAAAAAATACATTAAGGGAGTCTATATAGAATATTAATGTTCAGGATCTTTTTAAGAGAACCAGTAACATTATTAATGACTTATTTTGTCTCCTCTGCAGCTGGAGAAGATGTTGGAGCCGCAGGTGTGGCGAGAAGCAGCCACGCAGGTCTTCTTCGCTCTGGGTCTCGGCTTCGGAGGCGTCATCGCTTTCTCCAGCTACAACAAGCGAGACAATAACTGTCACTTCGATGCAGCGCTGGTTTCCATCATCAACTTTGTGACGTCCATCTTGGCCACTTTGGTGGTGTTTGCCGTTCTGGGGTTCAAGGCGAATGTCATGAACGAGAAGTGTGTCGTCGAGTGAGTGTGCCATGCTGAAGCAAATGCTATGTGATCAGTCTCGTATTAGCTTTTGTTTTCATGGTTGTCTTTCCTCACTAATGTGTCCCTCTTCTCCACATCTCCAACTGTCCATACGCAGGAATGCAGAGAAGATCCTGGGTTTCCTGAACACAGGTGTGCTGAGCAGAGAGCTCATCCCTCCTCATATCAACTTCTCCCACCTGTCAGCCCAGGACTATGCAGAAATGTACGGAGTCATAAAGACGGTAAAGGAAGACAGCTTCGGCCAAATGGGCCTCGATGCTTGTGTCCTGGAGGATGAACTCAATAAGGTCAGTGGGAGAAACTTCAAACACTGAAATGAGAATACAGTTATATATATACACACACACACACAAATAAATACAGTTGAAACCAGAAGCTAAAATACACTTCATAAGAAGACATATAACTTTTTTTTTCTCACTGTCTGACATTAAATCAGTCTAAACTTTTCCTGTTTTAGGTCAGTTAGGATTACCAAAATAATTTCTGTTTTCTAAATGTCACAATAATGAGAAAGATCTTTTTTTTTTTTTTTTTTTTAGATTTATTTATTACTTTCTTCAAAGTCAGAACTTCTGGTTTCAGCTGTTTATGATTAATCGTTTTGATTTCAGGAAGTTATTTATGTCTAGGTAATCTGAGAAGTAGCCATACTATGTGAAATGTGACAAATTGGAGGTGAAACCATCGTTACAGAAGAATCCATCATTTTAAATGTGTATGTATTCACCATGAGATGATTCTGAATTGTGATCAAGCTTCCAACCAAGATAAGTTTGAGGTTTCTATAGGTTTTTAACTGTCATGGTCATAGTACCGCAGATAGTTCAGTTTCATTTTGCTGATTGTGGTCTTTCGAGGCTTTATGGGCATTTAATGTGTTTTGTGTGGGTCATCATATAAATGAAATGTCCCGTATGATGAAAATTCATCATACTTTATAGAGCACCTTCTGCTATAACTCTAAAATGTTTAAGTTACAGGCAAAATACATCAAATGTTCTGCTGTTGGCTGCAAAATTGAACACAGAACTCTTAAATCACTCCGCACATCTGAGGAACTGAAGATCCAGTGGATTACTTTTTATTCTTCATGGCATTGTTACCACAACAATAGGAAAAATCCTAAGTGTTGGCATGTTGTGCAACTAATGTGGCCAACATTACTGTTGGCTTTGATCAGAGCTAAAACCAGAAGTTATGCAGTCATGTTAAAATAAACCATGTTTACAGTATTTGAACTGAAAATTAAAAGATGTTTTGGGGACATATGAGACGTCTGTTAATTTTCTGTAAAGGGGCACAATGTGGGACTGTTAAAATTACTATGCAGGAGATTGGTTGGGCCCTGATCTAAATTTAAAACAAAAACAAACAAAAAACACACCTATTGATGCTTTTTCAATATTACCCTTCAAACAGTGGCTCCCAAATCCAATTCATTCATCTCTCTCTTTCATCAAACCAGTGTCTTTTTGTAACCCATTAACAAGCTGCACAAGTCTGCAAGCTCAGTGAATAACTTTTTCTTGTTTTATTTGAATAATCTTCCTCTCCTGTCAAATAACTTACCCCTTACATTTATCTAAGTAGCAGGGGTCCTGACCTCCAGCGGGGAGATCACTGTTTTAAATCATTCCTCATTGTCTGGAACAAGTCCAGTCGCTCGATCTTTTGCAAATGATTTCCACAGCAATGTGAGGCTGAAAATAAGCTTGTTGGATTCATCCCAGAAGCTACAGCCTGTCTTTTAAGCTTTGATTTTTATCTGTTGTGTTAAGGATGCTTAAACATTAAGTGCAATCTACTATCTAAAGTCTGTTTGAGCTCATCACATCCGTGGCTGCCCTATAATTAATGAACCTGGAAATGGATGTTAAGTGGGTGATTTCTTATATAAGTATCATTCATTTCCAGCTCATTAGTCACCATTAGCCACCTTTGACAGACTTCCTTCCATCCTTCAGGCGGTTCAGGGCACTGGCTTGGCGTTCATCGCCTTTACGGAGGCCATGACCCACTTCCCCGCCAGCCCCTTCTGGTCCGTCATGTTCTTCTTCATGCTGATCAACCTGGGATTGGGCAGCATGATCGGCACCATGACCGGCATCACCACTCCCATACTGGACGCTTTCAAGATCCGTAAAGAGATCCTGTGTGGTAAGTCTTGATTCTGGTTATCCAGGTTGTATCTTGTACCTGCTGCATCTTTCTGATTCTGAACAGATATTTCTTCTTCTTCTCCTCCCTCTCAGTGGCTTGCTGTGTCATAGCCTTCCTGTTAGGCCTACTGTTTGTGCAACGTTCAGGGAACTACTTTGTCACCATGTTTGACGACTACTCCGCTGGTTTACCTCTCACTGTGGTGGTGATCCTGGAGAACGTCTCTGTGGCCTGGATCTATGGCACGAAGAGGTAAAATGACTGGATATCTATAATGAAGCCACATAATGAGTTCTCGGGACATGTTTGTCTGTTTGGTCAGTCTGATTTGTACGGAGAGCTGTCACTGGGGAATTCAGAAACATTACCCAAATGCCACAGGCAGGCAGGTGAAAGTAACAAAAGAAACATTAATCAAAGCTGAACAGAGTGAACAAAGGCAAGGGAGCAAACAGAAGATGGCTGAATGTCCAGGAGTCCAAGGGATAAGCAAAGAACTGATCCAAAACAACAGTATCCAAACAACTAGAAATGTAAGAATGTTCAAAAAATACTAACCAGGTGAGCACATGGAGCAAAAGGAGCAAATCAGTCAGGTAAAAGGGAATACAAAAACTAGACCGAGACAAGTTAGACATGGAGAATCATGTTGCAATCAGGCAGATTAATCTTAGGGTGGATAACATAAGACTAAACAGGACAAAATGGCAGAGATAGAAGTCAGAGGCAGGACTATCAGGACAATCAAAAAAGGAGGGGAAAAGAGACAAAGGGAGGAAGTAAAACAACAAACGATGCACAAGGACAGAATATGGCAAAAGAAAACAGGAAATAAACAAAACCCAGAACTGAGACAGAGAACTCTTCAAAAAAGAACTCACTGTTGAATAGGTCTTCTAATTTACATATCAATCACGGCTTCATTCTAAAGGAAAAGTTCACCACGAACCAGAATATTATGTCCGTTTTACACAGGAAAAAATTAGATGAAGCATATTACAAAACGTAAATCATAGTTTCGCCACAATAACAGCGCAGACAAATTATTCTGCACATCTACTGTTGTTTAAATAGCACCATTAGAAAGACACTGGCTCTGGTATACACAACCCTGAGACCATGATGTTCTTCCAGACAAGTGTTTAGAGATATTGTTTTATGGAGCAGTTACCAACAACCAATTGGACAATTTCACTGCACACTTCTCCACTCGCCGTAGTAAGAAATCAGAGGTGTTGCTAATAACATTCATGCTGGCTCTGCTTCATTCAAGTGTTCCACTGAGGGTTCCACTAGGTGCACTTCTGTGACCGTGACACAGTTTTGTTTGATCCTTCGCAAAGCCAGTGTTTTTGACTTGCTAAATTTGGCCATTTTTTTCTGAATCTTCGTGGGTTTTTTTGTAGTTTAGTACGCTACATAGTTAACTGATGCTACCAGATGCTCTATTCTGTTCCGGTTTCTGACTCTCGATCTGCTCTGTGCAGTTTGACTCAGTATCAGTGCAAAATAGGCTGGGAGTGTATTTATAGCGGAGGAGAGCGGAGAGCAGCTTCTGTAAAGAGCTGCAGCGCATCTGGTGGAATCCCAAACATTATGTAGATCAGCTCCTGTGGCCTTGTTGCAGCTGGAACGCAATGCAGCCGTCGCCTCTGTGTCTCAGGGGTCGGTGAGGCAACATGCACAGTGGCATGACAGCTAAATGGAATTCAGCCATCTTGGATTTTGTTGTTTCGCAACTCTGGTTTTCCTTCTATGATATGCATAGAGATGTTTATAAATAGTTTATGGAGACTTAATTCTTTCTATCTTTGTGCTTACCCTGCTACCTACCCTCAGGTTCATGCAGGACCTGGAGGACATGCTTGGTTTCAGGCCGTATTCCTTCTATTACTACATGTGGAGATACGTGTCGCCTGCTGTCTTGGTGGTGCTCATCGTGGCCACTGTCATCGAGATGGCCGTCAGTCCTGCAGGATACAACGCCTGGGTGGAGTCCGAGGTCAGTGTTCAGTTAATACTCCTAGCTATGTGTGATTATAGGATTCAGAAAGAAAAACATTTTAAAAAGTGAAAGCAGTATCAGACATGCTTGACTTGCTCAATGCTCAATGCAAACTCCTGTTTTACCATCTTGGCATCAATATTCAGTCATCAATCACAACCATGTTTTAAAGGTGAGCAGACCTTTCAAACTTGGTTCTGATCCACCTGTTTGCAGTTTTACTCAATTCCTCTTCTCGCCTATCCCCTCTTTGCGTACATCTGTGCCTTCTTCGCCATCCTCTTACCCCTGAACTCTTTTGTTCTCAGGGCTCAGAGCGTTTCCAGAGCTACCCCCCCTGGGCTTTAGGTATGGCCTACGCCCTCATCGTGGTCGCCATGCTGCCTTTACCCCTCGTCTACATCGCCCGCCACTTCAACTTGATCTCCGACGGCTCCAACAAGCTGTCCGTCTCCTACCGCAAAGGCATGATGAAGGACATCTCCAACCTGGAGGAGCAGGACGAGCAGCGCTTCATCCTCAGCAAGAACCCCAGCGAGGCGCCCTCCCCCATGCCGGCCCACCGCGCTTACCTCGGCCCCGGCGGCACCCAGGAGATGACCAACACCAACTACGGCACCAGCACCAAGACGGGCTACCAGAACATCGGCTCGCCTGAGTCTGAGCTATGATCCACTGAGCTCATTGATCTTCCCGTCCATTAAGACCTGGCCCTGCTTGAAGAGAGGGAGAGAGAGGAAGTCAAGAGGGAGAGAAAAATTCACTCGCAGCATTCATCACACCTTAACCCCCAGAGCTAAAGCCCTCGATTCCCCTCTTTCCTGCTCCATCGCTCCTCACCTGTGGTTGTTCCCTTCTCACGTGTCGTAGGATCCGTGCTGCAAATGGCCTGTCAATCCCAGCTGGGATGAAGGGATCACTGGAATGTGAGTCCCGACTGATATGACAACCTTTTTTTCCCCCATCTGTCGAGGCATTACAGGGGCAGAGAGAGAGAGAGGGACAGACGGGAACAAAGAGGCGGATGAAGTGTAGAGAGGTCCGCTGTGGGCTTAGATCTGGGATTTGTTTGGTAATATACGCTCTGGTTGAGGTTGACGTGGGTGCAATGCTAAAATGCTTCACATTGTACCAGTTTGTGCTTCTTCTGATTCAGTTGGAGAGGATTGTTATTTGTGGGTGATGGGATGGAAGGAGACTCACTCATCTTATCCTGATCTATATCACGGTATGAGAACATTTCTTATCTAGAATACAATTGCAAATACGACCATAAAAGTATGTCACAAGTGGTAGTGTAAGCAGTGTTCCAAGCACATCATATAAGTTTACTGTGCCTATCATGCATCAGCAATAATAACCAGTCACAGTAGGATCCTCATGAAGCTGTGGATCTCCTTCTATCTCTGTTTCCCCACTGATGTAGAATACTGTACATATGTGTTGTGCAATAGTTTCAGATGTCACCGTAAAAAAATCGCGCATATACACTGCAATACTGCAAAAACAAAAAGGGAGGCAGCTTTTTTGCCTCGTCATTCCACAGAAGCACAGACGCCTGCTATCGTTTAGAGCATCTCTGAGCCTTAACACAGAGCAGCACTTTTTTCTTTTAAACAACTCCTTCACTTGTTGCCAACAGCACTGCGCACATCCACGTCCCCTGCGCTGTTCCGGTCGCAGCTGGCTTAGACAAAGCTTTTCCATTTGAATCAATCATTTTAATCAGGCGTTTCCATTTTTATGAATGCCTTAGAAGGGCAGCGGCGGCGATGCGCGAGCAGGAGCAAGCAGAGCGGCTTGTGCTTGGAAGTCTCCGCGCGGCAGATGTGCATGTGCGTCGGGGTGTTGTCTGCCACCGAAAACCAGAGCTGCCGGTGACCCTGCCGGTTTAAAAATAGAGCCGCGTTACCCAGGGGAAGCCGTGGCAACGCGCCATAGATACAAATCCTCTTCTGATGTAAAGGAGGGAGAAGAGAGCAGACACCTCGCTTTGTCTGCTCCACCTGCACAGCTGCTTGTTCAGCCAGACGGAGACGAGACATTTTCGCGTCGAGGCCCTACATGCGTGTCTCTCTCTGATGTTGCATTGAATAAGAGGTTCACTGCCATACATGCTGAGGATTAATCATACCTCATCCCTGAGAGGATGATATTTAGGTTTTACTGTTGTACATTCCTCCAATTGTGACCACTATGTAGACATAAATCCATAAGCACTACAAACTACACTTTGATGTCTTTTCGTGAACCGAGGTGTGAAAACAAAGCCTTTATTTTTTTCCTCTGTTTTTTTTAAATGTATAATCTTGTATGACAATGTATGTTTAGGGGTATCATGTGGAAACGTACCGTGATATAAATGTGTGGAATAAGTGGTAATATTTGGTTTTCGCCACTGGGTGTCTCTGCTGGCCAGCGGAGGACACAGTCTCTGTCCTGTAGCCCCTCCCTGAGACAAGACCAATACTTGAGACTGAACAGATGTAGTGTGAAGCACAGTCAGTCACATTGTTTGGTGCCTGAACAGCATCTGTGTTGTCGTTTTGCCTTATGCTTTTGTCATTTTTTTTTAATGTTGTTGTCGTCATCGTTGATTATTTAGTGAGTTTACTAGGTAGAGTTTGGACCAATGTTTCATCTCGTCTACTTGAGCACTTTAATTAGGTAGAGACCCTGGAGTTGTTTGTTAAGAATAAGCTTGAAAAGAAATATCTATCTCTCTCTCTATATATATATATATATATATATATATATATAGAGAGAGAGAGAGAGACTACAAATCACTCGTATACGCAGCAATAGTGCAAAATAGGGGGCAGCTAGGTTTCTTCATGAGAGAAATAGGTATGAATGTCCATTAAAAGGCACAAGACACAAATGCATCACAAGCCAAGAGCTTCAAGGTTCTTATCATGTTCTCATAGAAGATATATAACCACGTTTGATGAAAATGTTAGCATTTTAAAAGGTCGTCGTCTGGCATCTTATGATGTTGAAACTGTGTTAATATGCTGAATTTAGCCCCAGTGCTTCACTAAATCTGAATCTACCGCTGCCTGGGTAGGTTTTACTAATTCATGTCTGGTTTTCCATAATGTAAGCGCGGAGCCATCCCTATGTTGTGGTCATACTGTTTGCGGTCGTGCAGCCTCCAACGTGCTTCCATCTTTAGCTCAGGTTTCAGGCTACAATGAGTTATCACGTGACTACTGTAGTTGTGCTAGATTGTTTCGTGCAGTAGATGCTGGTGGTACGATGGTAGAATTTTCCAGAGATCTACAGCAAATCGTTTATTTTCTGCTTGGTATTTATAGATTTGTATGTTGTTTAACTGGTTTCTTGTAGTAGTTGACCGATACAGGTTTTTTCATTTGTTTTTTGTTATTTTTTTAGAGCCAATGCCGATTATTGGTAATCAATAAAGGCTGATGACTGATATTAGGAACAGATACATGTTAAATGTAATGTTTTAACAGCATGTGATTTAACATTTATGAGGGTAATTGTTACTGAAAATGGAAAATAGAAATGGAAGTAATTAAATTAGAATATTCTCTGATTATGTGGGATCAACTGAGATTGATCAGTTTGTCTCCTGCTGTTACGTCTACTGTTCTTTAGTTTTTAAAATCTTGTCACTTTTATTGCCTACTAAAGTCCATATTTTAAAGCATTATTATTTATTGTTTACAGACTCTCTTTCAGGGTGATTTGTGGCTGCCTTCTAAATTAGCTGCTAGCCGTTAGCGTAGCATTTGCCACAGGGAGAGGAGCTAATTTCCTGATTTGTGGCAACAGCTCGTGTTTCTTGTTAAATTTTTGCGGTCTCTGATTGAGAGGCATTTCTGAGGCCATCACAGGATGATGGCAAACAGTAGAGGAGGCTGCTAATGTATCAATAATTGGTCAATAAAATTACAGATGTCGACAATCGGAAAAAATGCCAAATATCGGCCGCGATTATCAGCCTGGATGATTATTGGTCTATCCCTAGTGTGTAGCAATGCTAATAGTTAATGCTAATTTCAAACAAGATGTCAAAAAATGAGCATGAAAACTCTATTAACATCTTCAGATGTGAGATTGTAACCTCTTTATCATGCATGTTCATACAGATCTTCTGTGATAACATCCACGCTCAACGGCTTGTGATACAAAACGGCACATGACCAGATATGAAAGCACTCGCCTGTAAAACAACTACAGCTTAGAGTTAAAGCACATTTTGGAAAAGCACAGGGCCGCGAGCACAAAGGAGTTTTTAACGTCTTCATACAAACAATTAATTTCACCAGTCAAAGAGCTAAAAGTCGGTATGGGTGATGAGTCTTATAGATGACTGTAGTTGACCTCTGACTGCTGCATCCGACAAGAAGTCGCTGCGGGATGAAGCTTCATTGCCATCTTCATGAACCAGAGAAAGCACCTGTAGCTACACACAGATCTGCACAATACACCGGTTTAGATGACGCATTGGGTCCAGTACAAACAGCACAATCACAGGATACGAGTTGTGAAAGCACAGCTGATCTTGCATTGAAACTCTTCCCAGTGGAAAAAAAAATCGCCTTCTCTTATTGGTCCAAACTTCGCTGGTAAAAAAAGGTATTGATTGATTATTGACAACAAAGCTCCAGGGTCTCTTTGTCTTGTCCATGTGTCAGCTGTGTTGAAAGCAACTTCTAGAGGTTAACTCGATTAGTTTACTGAGATTAACTTGACAAAAGTAGAGTAAAAGTGAATTTATTTAACTGTGCAAATAGTCTTTATGTGACTAACCATAGTTATATTTATAGTATTTAAGACCATGTATTTAATCTGTACATATCAATGTACATTCTGATAAATTCACACTGAGTATCTATAGTAAGAGTGACAGAGTGTATACTTAAGCTGTAAATAATAATTGTATATTTTGAGATATTTTTTGATTTTTGTACCGTCAGTAATGTTACTTTGGTGTCTGTTGGTGTTTGTGGGTGTGTGGTTGTTCTCAGTAGAAATAGCTGCGCGACTGTGCCTGTGAGTGCGTGTGTGTGTGTGAAATAAAAGTATATGTAGGTTTTTTGGTGTTTAAATGTGCGTTCCTTTCTCCTCTCTCAGTGTTGTGCGCTGCTGATCTAATCCAGTAGATAAAATCCTGTTGTTACAGTGGACCGGGGCCACTAACGTGAGCGATCTCTTCCCTTTGTGTTTCTCACTGGAACTGCGCTGGTTTCTTCCAGCACAAAACTGGCAACACAATCAAGAAGAAAATGTTTGACTGTAACAATGAGACAGAAACTTTAATTTTTTTCAATGAAGAGAGTGATATACTGTACAAACATGATGGAACAGGAAATTCAAATTAAAGCCACTTTTATGAAACGGACCATGTTGTGTGTCTCACTTTTTGTGATTTATGAGAATATTCTTAATGTGTGAAGTTTTGCTGATGATATTCTGTAGGTTTAAGTGTTTTGTTCCACCTGTATGTTTGAAGTGCATTTTTATGATCTGTGAAGAAAAATCTCAAACCTGTGATGCTATTTGATCATGAAAAGTTGAATCTTTCTCAACACATAATCTGTATAAATGGGAATATTGATTTTTGAGAAATTCAAATCTGAATGGGGATTAACTGGCAATACAATACAAGTAGAAGTAAAGTCTTGCACTTTAGTGAAAG